AAAAGTTGTTGAAAAATAGATTCTTCAAAGAAGTATATAACATTATTAACAAATGGTTTCAAATTGATATCCTAAGCTTGCATATAACAGAATCACTAAACGGTGAGTAAACATTAATATCAACGAATCTGATGAATCCAAGTTCAAAACCGCAAATCATTGATTCTTAATCATTTTCTCTACATTCAATAATTAATCAAATTTCTATTACGAATATCCCAAAGAGGTGATAATGTAAACAAAATCAACGACAACCCTAAATCTAGAAATTACATCCGAGAACAATAAGAAACTTGAAAACCCTAGATAAAACTTCCATCAAGTACACACAGAAACACACATACGCAGTAACTCCCCTACTGAACCAAGAAAGGCAGCGGAAGCTATGAACTAAAATCCCCAAACAAATAAAAAAATAGAAATCGAAAATCTGTCTGTGTGTGTTTAGGTTGTAAGAGAGAAAGCTTACATCGATCTTCTGCTGCTCGAGATGGGCGGCCAACAATTCTTCTTGTGATTGAGTCATGATTTTAGGGCTCGCGGATAAAAGAGAGGTCTTTGGTATCAGCGGAAGAAAACGGGAAGCTTTGTAAAACCCTAGAAGAAGTATGAAAAATCTTGGACGAATTTAAAGGGTACGCATATACCGTAAATTTAGGTGCTGTAATGTATTTTCACCCCAATTAACCATTACGTCGTAGTTTGTAACCGTTAGATCATTTATTCTGAAGGTTACATGATGATCCGACAGAATAATTGCGTAATGAGACTATGGATTTCCCGTTATTTTTGTTTGAGCAAGTGATTACAATGTAGCCTGGCGTATAATTATTAATGCAATGATTAAAAAAAAAGGATAAAGATGAATAAAATGAAACTCCTAAGGTTGTGATTGGAGATAATTATTTTTAATTCTATCATTTTTTCTAGGGTTAATTGTAGGAAAAATCCTGACATTTGCTTAAATTGTAAATAAAACTCCACATTCTCAATTTGGCAAAACAATACACAACCTTTCAAAATTTTTGCAATTATGTCTCGAAGAAAGATTCCGGCCAACTGATGTTGACATGGCATGTCGATAAATTGATGTGGCACCGGTTTTGTGACGTGGCAAAAAGTCATTTTACACGTGGTAAAACACATATGATTTATCATTTGGAGCACTCGAATCAACTTAAGTGTCATAAAAAATAGTACAATACCATTATTCAACAAGAAACATGAAATTCATACCAGGCTTGACTTGACTTTCTCGACAAACTCACTATGCTTAATCCCCTCAAAAATCTCACTGGAACTCTTGTGCTTTAATTCCCTCAGCCTGGACTTCAACGTCTTAATCGGTTCCCAAAATTTTCCAAATTGCCCCTCCTCTCTTTCCCTCTCCCTCTCCCTCTCCGTGAACTTCGCTCTTCACTTCCTGAAGGTTTCTCTCTCATCCTCCACATCATCCTCCCCCACCTCTGCAATAATCGCGTTCTTAATTGTTGATAAATCGATCTTAATCTGCGGTCGCCGGTAGAACTTGAAATCCGGCGACGAGTACACCATTCTAATTTCGAACAGTTTTGGTTGAAGTTTCTTCAAAAAAGGGTTTTCTGTGTGTATCTTTTGCTTTGGATTTAGAAAGCAGCATTTGCTATTCTGGAGGTGTTAGTGTTCGGCATTTTTGTAAAATGGGTTCTTGAGGAAGATGATGAATTTGAGGTTTTTGAGGAGGGAGAAGGTTTTATTGAATAGCATTTTGTTCTGGAGCTTCATAAGAAACGGATGCTGAAGAAGATGACAAAAAGGAAGCAAAATTTGAAGGTCTTTTGGTGCTGAGATTATCGATATTAGGTAATAATCGACCATTAATATCTTGTAATGGGCCATTTGTGTTCTTCTCTTTTTCTTTTTTGGTACAAATAAAGTAGTTTTTCCCAATCTACGTGGCATTCCTACGGTAAGTGAGATGACATGAACTCTTACGTGTAAAATGTCTTTTTGCCACGTCACAAAACCGATGCCACATCAATTTACCGACATGCCATGTCAGCATCAGTTGACCGGAATCTTCCTTCGAGACATAATTGCAAATTTTTGAAAGGTTTTGTATTGTTTTGCCAAATTGGGAAAATGGAGTTTTATTTGCAATTTAAGTAAAGGTCGGGATTTTTCCTGCAATT